TTCTGTGATCCGATCCGTGATCCGATCCGTGATCCGATCCGTGATCCGATCCGTGATCCGATCCGTGATCCGATCCGTGATCTGATCCGTGATCCGGTTCGTGATCCGGTCGGTGATCCGATCCGTGATCCGGTCCGATCCAGGTTTTGTCGACGCCGCCTTTATGGGCAGTTTCCGAGTTACCTTGTGCCTCGGTTTCAAAACGAGTGTTCGTTCAAATCTTTTTTATATGAAAATAAGTTTGATTTCCATGAAAATGAACCTCTACGCGGAAAACATTTTCATATGAATGGTTTCGAATGAAGACTCCTATTGACACAGAGGCACAAGATTACTCGGAAATGACCTATTTACATGGAGTAAGGGGTGCGTTGCCCTTTCTTATAGCACGGAACTCTATATTCAACAACATATCGCGACCATACTAACTTATGGGTATTGCGGTATTAATAATAAAAACATTAAGAATAAAAGCTTTTCCTTCTTTAGTCACATTTCATCTACCCCTCTAAATTTCATACATTGCTTTTTTACTGCGATATTATTTCGACAAAAATAAAGCAGTAGCCACTTGCAGTCATAGGCTGCCTCTTATTTGTATAGCGCAGTTAACGAAGTTTGCATTAGCTATCATTATTAGCATATTGTAACAGAGTTAGTTTTATCTTCTCAGCAAACTCTTGTTTATCTATCTTCAATCCTATTTTACGCCAACGTCTTTTAACCTAACAACACCTGCATTTTTCAGTAGCGATCTAATCAGTATACCAAGGCCCAGAGGTCTTGAAGTAACCACGTGTTTACAAATGAGCGTGGTAGTCGACACCCCCAGGCAGTTCTTATAATTTAACTTCTTTTTTTATACTATTATAATAATTCACCGAAGATTTTACCATGTTGAAATAAATAATGTATGTATGTGTGCGTGCGTGCGTGTATGTGTGTGTGTAGGTATATTGATCGCATCAATTGTCCACGTTACGCGCTGGTGTGGAGAAAAGTGCAGTTGTAATGACATCATTCCGAAAAGCAGTAGCATCAACGCTTGGAAGTTTGCGGTAATTCTTTTCAAGACTTGGTGTACGAGGACTGACATATGATCAGACAAATGCAAGTTTATGGTTGATAAGTTCTGAATGGTATTTTTATCTTCTCTAGTAGTCACCAAATCAAGCGTGTGATGACTTTGCGAGAAGCGCCAGAAACATGTTGCACTAAATGCACACCCCTCTAACATGTACCAAACATTTTCCACTCGGGACAAGTTAAGACCCGGCCGTCTAACGACTTTATCACAATCCACGAAAAAATAACCAATCTTGCACGCCTTGCTTGCTAACATGACCAAATAACAGCCCTATATTTGGGTTATGTATTAGATCATAACTTCTAAAACTAAACAAACAAGCAGACAGACAGATAAGTAAACAGGCCATTTCGTAAGTAATCTTTATTTCTTATGAGCTGTTTAATCATTTGACTGATACAGCTAAATTTAGGCTAGGGGGCAATAAAGTATACATTTACAAAGCACCCAAAGCTTAGTGATCGAGTCTATCAACACTGGAAGCATTCAGAGCATAACATCAACATTTTTCAGCTGTACGTATCATCCGCTTTGAAAGTGGCTAGGCATTATTCTAAGACATATATAGATCTGTAAATGAAAATAAACTATAGATCCAATTTCATCACTGGAAAATTTAAAAATTTAGAAAACATTCCACGACTTTATACCAGAAGCCAGGAGAGCAGGCAGTTAAGCGGACCAGAGTGCGGAATGCGCTTGTGTTGTTCTGTAGACTATACACTAGTTAAAGCCCTCGGGCCGACACGTCTATTGAAAATACTGATATTGAAGTTAACTAGACTATGAAAAGGTAAATTGCAATAAAAAGGTCACCGTAGCAATTTTTTAGAAGGTTATGTCGTCGTACTTTTTAAAGATATTCTTCCTTTCTAGTTAAGAAAACGAGCTTTACTTTCACGGCATTTTCTACATCTTTTTAACCATCGCAGACCAAACGCTGTAACCTGCTTACTTCATAGGTACCTAGTCAGAAACCCTGTTTTGATAAAACATGTTCAGTTGGTGAAAACAACGTTCAAAGATACAAATCGGAATGTTCCCGTCTGAGAACACCATTTTAGTTACAGCAAATGTGAACAAGCTGCATACTGATACATTGCTGATTTCTTGAAACCCCAACACATTTTCCAATTTATTTAATCAAGCCGAAAGTAAAATAAGTTAATTTAATATTCAGCATCCCGATAACTAAAAATTGTTTAATAATATGTCAAATATACAATTAGAGTCTATATCGTATAAACAATTTTCTTATAAAATAACATATGGACTCAATAGTCCAGCCCAATATATTCATATTCACAGTATAAGACAATGTAATTAGACAATGACGCATATTTGTTCGAATAATTTGAAATTGTTACAGTTTTGACATAACTTCAAGAAACTTCAATAATTCTATTTTATACACTTCGCGTCCATTTTATTATCGGCTTCAATTAAATTTACTGTAAAACACTAAATATTTCAATGCAAGATCTTAAAATACTAGCAGTGGAGAGCTGCACTCGTGAGCTTGATTACAAATTCATTAATTATAATGTAAATATCGCTATGAAAAGCTCAGTTCGGCAGAAGCATCTTCCCTGCGACTGATTAAGCTTGTTCTATACCAGTTGACTAAGCTAGGGCCAGCTCACCGATCTTGTCAGACCTGTACAATAAAATGACATCCCAAAAAGTTACAACTAGTACTCTGAGCACTGCTTAGTAACATCTCGTGCTCAAATTCTGTTGCTGAAGTTGTTATTGTTGGTGTAGCCGTTGTTGCTGCTGTCAGATACATACTATAAAATCTCACTAGTTTAATTAAGGCTACCGTACACCTTTAGAAGTGCCTCGCGTCCACGTGATGTAGCGCGTCCGGATACCTAAACTCCTATATCAAATTAAAGCCCATAGAGCTGGCTATCAAACTATACCAAGAACTTTGAAATCAAATGAATTGTAGCATTTTTTACGACCTCAAAATGCGAGTGTCCGAATCACCTTTTGAACCGAATCCCCTTTTGTCCTTCAGTTCAAAAAGGTGCCTGCGATTTGCCATATTTAATTTCAGTGAAAATTTACTGAACATTTTCGCAATAGGAATAAAAATATATGGAGTGATCGTAGAAAAGTCGCTCTCAGAGAAAAAAATTTTTGGAATAACAAATTCGGTGGCGCGTTTTTGTCGCTTATATATCAAACTAGCTACCGTCCAAATTTGAGGGTAATCGAACAAATACCCTTTGACTTGTAGCTTCCAAAAGGGACCCAAAGATGATCAGGACGCTCACGTTTTAAGGTCGTGAAAAACTCGACAATTCATTTTATTTCAAAATTCTTGGTATAGTTTGATAGCCAGCTCGATAAGCTATAATTTGATATAGGGGTTTACATATCCACAGTTAAACCAGAAGCGCTACATCGCCTGGACGCGAGACAACTCTAAAGGTGCTCTAAAGGTATACGGTAAACGTGACTTGAAAGATGGGCGCAAGCTTGACCCCGGCCTGGGGCAAGGAATGCAAGCATAGAAAACAGTCGGAAATCGAGCTTAGAAGAGGGATAGTGTGTGTTTAATAGATGTCCATTACAGGGTCACTTAAACAAAATGCTAAACAAGAAGCGTACTCTATCTACAAGCAAACAGCAGGCTTGGTATTTGTATTTACCTCTGTAATTTGACCTTTTCTGGTCTGCTTTTCCTCCTCAGCTTCATCATTACTCTTTCCATTTCTTGAATGAGGCATTTCCAACGAGTTACGTCTTTTAAAGGTATTGTCCAAGTGAGATCTAATCGATATCCTTTCGATAAGTGATCGCCTCCGAGGCACAGTGTTAATAATGTCTTTATCTTTGATTGGTCTCCGTCTTACCGGTGTTTCACTAAAAGTGTCCTCAGTACTCTTTGATCTCCCTCTTTCCGACAATTTGTCGGGAGGCGAGAAGGGTTTGAAAATAACATTTCTTTTCTTGTCCTCCTCTGACGCAGCGACTATATCTTTTCCGTGACTGGAAGCTGGCGTTTCCTCGGCACTACTCCTCCTTTTAGAGAGATTTTCCTTACTATTAGCACGTACCATTGGTGTTCGTTCTAAAGAGATTTTCCGCACCTTGTTACGTTTCACGTTGGATTTAGACAGTTTTTCTTCGAGTGGTGTTGAAATACAGCTTCGTGCTGAAACATCCTCGTCTGTTGATTGAAGATTAAGATCGTACACACCGCTGCTACCTGAAGAGTCAACACTTGAGGCAGTTTCTGAACTGACGAGTGATAACCGCTTCTTGGTTGAGCGAGGACTGGAGCTGTTGGACGGTGTAGACTGGGTCCTCATTAGAGGGACATTGACAGAGTTTACTATCGGTTGGTATGGTGACGTATCACCTGGTTGTGTACTTGGGATAACAAGAGGCGGCTGACTTCCCACACTGATACCTGTTGATGCTTCCGTTAAACCATACTCTGCCATTCAAGAAAGTAATCAAAAAGTTCATTAAAAAAAATGTTATAAAAATACGTACTTATTAGAGCTTACAAGAAGCTGTACAAAGACAAACAAGTACCTCTATTTCGCATAGCTTGTTTCCATAGTAACCTTGTAATCTCTGTCACCCAAGCCGTCTTCACTTCAAGAGACTGCGCCTACAGAACAGAATCAGTAATAATACAGTCAGATTTCCTCCAACGGCAGATTTTAAACCCTAAGAAATACATAAGGCCACGGTGATTTACTCATAAAAATCGAAGTGCATAAAAACCGCACGGATTCAAAGCTCGCCCCAAACAGCAACGCAAAAGATGAATTTTAACTTGTGATGAATGAACGCAGGAAAGATAGCAATAAATAAGAGAGGACGACTAGTGCGCAAAGTTCACTGGAATACTAGTAAGCAGGCTATGGCACCGTTTAACAATAATTAGTCATTCAAAGCGGTTCTTTTTTTTAAATTTTGCTTTCAATACCGTTGATTTATCTCCATAGAGTCTTGGCACATTGAGAAGAAGTAAGCGGCTCAGGCCAGACTAATACAGAGGCCTTATTAGGGGTTTTCCGGATATTTAGGTAAAAAATTAACGGGATACAGGATACTTGGGGGAAAAATTAATGGTTTATGGATCAGATAGATAGATCAGATATCCCGGGATATCGAACAATTGGAATTTACGGGATATTGGATATTTCGACTAAAAGGGATATGAGATACCCAGACCCCTTTAACGGGGCCTCAGTTCCGACAGTGGACACCAGTTTTTCTCGCGTCCAAGTTACTGAGCTTATTTGTTCCTCTGCTAGTCGACACTTGACTGTAAAAAAGAAAGAGAAATTTCTAATTTTATACGTTACTGACTTCAGCCTTGAATTGCCTTCGTTCAGTATCGGATAGCTCAGTCTTTTACCAACTCACGTGTTCGATTTCTGATACTACTCCACTTTACGGAGAAGCAGAGATTGTGGATAATACCCTTCACTTTGTCTTAAAAAGGAGTTTGCTTCAAAGTTGGATTACTGCCAGACAGAACAAAAAAAACACGCCCTACTTTATTCCATGCGCGTAACTATCGAGAGAAGTGACAAGAGTTAAACCGCTGACCTGTAGAACAAAAGTGTCCTCTGGCTTCCTTCTTCTGAACCACAGTTCAAACTTGAGCCCGCTGTCACCAATGTTCTCTGTAAGACCGAGATCAGTTGTCTGAAATAAGGCAAAGATAACAACACACACGAAATTAAATGAAATGAAAGAGAAAATAGGAAATGAAAAATGCAGAATTCTCAGATTGTACAAATTGGCCCATTAAACAGATCTCTGAGTGACGAATTCCGCCAAGATGAGAAAATAGGTTTGCCTTCATTTGATAAGCAACATCAAACAACGTAGAAATCGTAAAGAAGTTCAATAATGTATGCTGTGTCAGCCACGATAGTGCACCAATGCAACTTAGTACAGTAGCATACTTGAGAACATTCGTCAAGTAAAATATAGATCCGTTAGAATTTTGTTAGCGTTTTCTGACAATCGAAAAAATACGGACTCAAGAATTTAACTGATTAATGAGACTGAGGAGCAGATTTGTTGTGAGATCCGGTAGAGTTTATTGGACTTGTTTCAGGCATGGTTGGTTACCTTGAGTGAGTTCTTGTAGTAATACAGGTCCACTCCTCCTGGCTGCTTCCTGACTTTACTGAATATCACAAGGTCATCTTGTAAGAACACTCGCCGCTGGTGCTTCTTTTTCCCAGTCCATACCGTGAAGTTGTCTTGGCGCAACAGGCGACCCTGTTCTTTAAGATTCATCTGCAAACCAGTAAAATTCACTTCCGGTTATTCTTGATGTTTTTTGACAAGTTCTCACAGTCATTAAATCCTGGCCAAACCAGCATTAAGGAAAGGAAAAAATACAGGAAGGAACAAAACAAAACACGACACACGAGAAACCATAAACACATGACCAGTGGCATCCTGTGGGCGTTCTTTTTTCTCCACTTTGTATGTATGCATGTTGGTTTGTTTGTTTGCTTGAAACGTCCCTTTGTTTGTGTGTCTGTTTGTTTGTTTGTTTGTTTGTTTGCTTGTTTGTCTGTCGGCGGTCAGTCAGTCAGTGAAAGACTGATTAAGACAAATGAATACACTTACGTCACAGCCTCTGAGCGAATCCCAGGCAAGCAAGTCGTTACCGTGCCTTAGCTGGTATTTCACCATTTCTTCCGCAGCCTGGAATTAAGAGAAAGAATTAACACCTTCACTTGTCATCAGAAATACGGGATACATTTAATATACAATCCTGACAAACAAACGTACCTTGAGCTCCGTGATTTTCGGATGTCCCGTATTTAATGCTTTGATCATGTCCTGTCGATGAACATAAGTATCAGTTAAGTTATATTAGGAACGTCCGAATCAGCTGTGTTACTGACATAGTTTCACCTACCTATCAAATAAAGGATTTATGTATGTATTGAATGAATCAACCATTTAACACGTATAGATACTCACGCGTAATAGAAGTCCATACTTTCCCATCCTTTGAACTGGTTTAATGAGAAAACTTCCAAGATCAAGTTTGTCTCCAAGTTCTTTCTGACGCGCCTGAAAAAAGAGAACAGATTGCTTTTACTCACTGCATCTCCTTGTCCGAGTGCAAGGGCCGTTCTAGGACAATATCGCTCGCACATTCTCTGGCAAGGCCGAGCGAAAGAAGGCCTGTACAAGATGACAGTTAAAATCCATCAAATATATTCGTTTGCACACGATTGGTCTTAACGCGACAAGTGGCTGAATATTCCCCAGCTAACACTGGGGAATATGTGGGTGAGATTCCCCAAGTTTCAAAACGTTTCGCGTGTTGCGAAAAATATTTGAAGGGTGACTCTCTCGGAAAACTGTTCGCTTCTGGTAATTGTTGATAACTTGCACAGCAAGAGTTTATAACAATACACCGTCCACTAAACAGGTCACGACAACAAATAAAAAGTCATCAAACATAACATGTGGCAAGGATGGCTGGTTCGATATATATCTGATATACTGACTCACCCTGAAGTATACATTGCCATGATCAGCAAGAAGCTGGTCTGAGCGGGGCTTGTTCTTGTTATACAAAGCATACAAGTAGAACTGACGTTCCTAACAATTACATAAAAATCTTTCATCAAACAACGAAAACTAGCTACGTTAACAAACAAGCTCCTAATTTTACTCTAAGGTTTGGGCAAAATCCAACCAAAAAATTCCGTCCTACAGAATAGAACTTCTTCGAAACATTTTATTTACGGACACTAATCGGAAAGGCAGACACCTCCCTGAGGGGGACATGATTGACTCGCTGGACTCGGCTGAAGTTTACTTGTTTTTCTCTAACTAAGCTCTGGATCCGTGTTAGTGCCAGTTCACTGTGAATATCAATAGCAAGTAGGAATTATCCATTGTTTATTTCCAGACTGACTGCAAAGGGTTGACTGCAAAGCTATAGCTTGGTTTACACACATACCCATTTCAAAAAACAACTTCCGATGTCTAAGATTCGGTCCTTGCACGCTTCTAATTCTTGCAGGAAATACCTGAAAAGCGAAAAGAACTACTAGTACACAGGGACACATGAGAGAGATTACGTGTAAGCGCAGAAACTCTGCAGATAGGTAGGTGGACACTTAGTCTCAAAACGCATGGTGTAGGCAAGTAAAACATGATTAATAGATCACCATCACTGAACGTACGACACTAACCTTTTATGGAAATCGTGAATCCTCTCTATATTTCCAAACAGAATGTTCTTCTTGCCCTTTAGTGATGGCAGTAACTCTGGATTATCCATCTCTACGATGTAATTCTAAAGTAAAAAGAAGAGATAAGACGTAAGCGGTAAAACTTCACAACCGAAGAAAACTGAAAAAATCGAACTTAATCCATTAATGGTCAAAGAAACGCCAGCTGACAAAAATAGTTTACTCACATCCATAATATACTGAAGTGATTTTACATAGTCCCTCTCCGTATCAATCATCTCTTGAAATATATACTTCAATTTCCTAGGGTCGGACAAAACAGACATCAGAAATCACGACGGCAACAAAAAATACCAGTCTTACCGAATATAGCTCGACGTGGTGACGACTGACAATGACGAGAATGAACAAATTTGAAAACGAAACACTCAAGTTTTCAAGTATGCCTTGCTTGAATTAGTCCGAAGTTTTGAAAATATATTTGCACTTGACAGTAACTTACTCTTCTATTCGGGGATTTAGCACTGGAATTTCCTCAATAACTGGCATTTCAGTCTGAAAGGGAGAAAAAAACCCAAAAACATTCAACAAAACGGTTGAAGTTTTCACTCGCCAGTGAATGTGTTCATTTTTTGACCGGTCTTGCTAATAAACAACTTACTTCCTTCCATGAATACAAGGCTGCAGATGTGGGAGATGATGAAGTCCTCCGCCGTCCAGGTGTCACCCCCTCCACGTGTGTGATCGGTTTGTCTATTTCGTCCTCGCTTTCAACCAGTAAGTCCCCCTCATCCTCGCCCTCGTCTTCCCCTCGGCCAGGACTGGAAGTGGTGGACTCGTCACTGCCTCCAGTAGTAGTACTGCTGACCTCGCTTGAAGGGTGACCCTAAGATATCGGTTTCAGAAGACAGAAAAGGTCAGCTGACAAAAAAAAAAAAGAACTTACAAGAAGTGATGAAACTTCATTGATTCGACTTACATCAAACCTGGGCACATATTCAAAGTTTCACATGAGAACGATCTTAACACCCGCTTGTGATCGTTACCATGATAACACAGAGAAAGGATGACATGTGGTACCTTAATGTCCTACATCTAATGTTGGGTAAACATGACTCACAGACTCACCGAAAGCCTTTCCTGGGCTCTGTTTAGTGTTTCTTGTCGCTTTTGTAACATATCTAAGATCTCTTTGTAGCGTGTAAGTATATTCTCGGCTTCCTTCACTAGTTTCGTGCTTGCCAAGTTTGTAGCCAGTTCAGATATCCGGTTGAGTCGACTCTCGCTCCACACAGGAGTCTCTTGTAGATGCTTCTCCAATCCGCGTGTTAATGCAGTGACGCCTTCTAAATAAAGGATCTCTTCCATGTTCATTGTGGCCAGCTTTGTTAATGTCCTCATGGACCAGTCTGAGGCCTGTTACATAACAATCCACGCAACAAACATCAAGTTATCAATTGAGGAGTTGTTCTGATTGGGGCTAACCCTTTAGCCCGAAATATCAGTCATCTCCCACCCTCGGCCCGGGATTAGGCTGAGGGCGGCAGAGGACAAGTAGCCGTGCTTACACCATGCCGCTCATGGACCACTGAACATCCGCACGACTGGCTCAGACTAAAATGTCTGCTGTTATACATCTCTTTCACTATATTTCATCACTGTGAAACTGAAACACCGGTTTAGAAATCACCTTACCAGCCGTAGTTCTATTACCTGCTCAATCATTTGGTAAAACTCCATGCAGGAACTGAGCTGCTGTCTTCTGTGTTCAAGCTTTCTACAAAACTTTCTGTACATCTCCTCCAAGGCTCTTTTTCTTTCTTTAATTCCAATTCCTTCGTAGTGGCCTCCTTGAACCATACTGCTTCCTTCCTCAAGGAGATTTTCCACTCGATCGCAGTAGCACTGGAAACAAAAATATTAAAAGTCACCATTGTTACTCGGCCATCGCCACAAGTGATTCCTTACAAAACGTCTCGTGAAGTCTCTAGAAAGTAAGCTTTTACAGATGTTCCCTTGCTCACCGATCCAATCACACATCCCTCGCTCGACTGCAGCACATTACCTTGGCTTTGTTTTCAAAGTCTTCGAAGTCCTCTTGAAGCGTCTTGACATGACCAATGGAATCTCCAATCTCAGTGTGTTTGTCTAAGAACTGTTCTCCTTTCGTCGATATCCAGTTGACGACCTGCAGTTTGTATAGAGAATGCATCAGCTGAACACTGTGCTTGTTTCTCAGCTTTGTTTTGAATTTCAATTCGAAATATATCTTGGTTTGGTGACGTTTGCTTGCCTAAATTTTTGCTGAGTGATCTGTGATGCCATCATTTTAAAAAAGAAGCAAATTAGCACGAAAGCCCATCATACACTTGTCAAGACTGGTTTTCGCTAACGCATAACGTTTAACAGGTGTATGATTCAAAATAAAAATAAATAAAAGATAAAAAAAATCTTGCTTAGATATATTTCTAATCAAAAATTCAAAACAATAATCTGTGCTAATCACGAGCTCGTACAATCTTCTCACTGGCTAATAAGAATCTGAAACCCTTCGGATTCTGGAACTTAATTGAGAATTTCAAAACATGAATTTGTTTTCCAGACTGTAAAGGTTAGCACATAAATGAACTTCCTATGTTTTACCTCGTCCAAGTCTTTTTCAAACTCCTTCAAGGCAAGGCACTGTTCTAATTTCCTTGTTCTGTTCTCTGTGAGCAACTCCAGTTTACAAAACACTTCATTCATTTGATGGTACAGTTTTGTCACGCAATTCACAGTTTCGATGTAGTCGGGCACTTTAGGTAACGCCGCCTCATCTTCCTGTAATCTAATCAATATTTGCTCTCCCTCAACTTGTAAAGCTGATAATCTACTGTCTTCAAACACATCCTTGATTTTCTGATGATGTTGCTCCAGGAGGTTTTTACATTCCTGGATGGTTTCTCCAAGTTTGCTGCTCGTAAACTGTTGCATCACGCCCATGGCGAGTTTGGCGGCGCTCCTACATCCAGTCATGAACGGCTCCAGTTTCTGAAACACAACAACAAATGGTATCAGCAAAGTATATTTGTAAGAACGCAATGGGACCTCCCCTTGCGGTCACAAAGTGTCTGTCCACTTGTGTCACAGTCCAGGAGAGATTTTTGTTGTATTTTAACTTCTACTTAGCTGGTTGCCAAGGTGACCAAGCATATGATGTCAGGTAAACACTACAATATTTAATAGTTTGGTTCGAGTTGGAGGAAGTCGGTTCTTGCTAGCTCACCAAAACACTACTCTTGCGGTTTATGGCACCGTGGTAATAGGAATGGATATTGACAAGAACAAAGAAATACTTTGAAAAAAAGGCAACACATGCATCGCTTAATTAACTTTCAATTAACCGTGCGGTATTCTTTTAATTTTATAAAGGAAATGTAAGTTACCGCTATTGCGGGATATTAACACACGTTTACAATTAACAGCCGCAGCAAGTTAATAGCATCTGAATATTGAGCGTTAGAATTGAAGAATTCGTTGTTACTTTGAAAAGTTCAGGTATTTCATTGCAAGATTAACAGTGATTGGCCGAGAGCAAGCCAATTTATCGTTAATTTTTAATTTGCACTGCAGTGTAAAATTCTCGCGCGTTAGTAATTATCGTGGGTAAGCTAGAGCAATTGAGAATTTACACTACTCATGGTATTTGAATTTTTTTGGAGAGAGAATTTTCAAAAATCACTGGTAGTGTAAATCCATCATCGCATCCATACGATTACCTATACTAACTGGCCCTGGAACAAAGGTCGTCATGAATAAGAAGGTCACGAATAAGAAGGCGGTGGATGGATTAGTCTATATAACTTCCACTCGTCAATGCCTTGCGGAGACCGAACAGAAATTTTCACGCCGTATTATTCCGGAAATCAACCAATCTTAATGCAGTAAAGAGCGGCGAGGCTGCCGCAAGACACAGGAAATACAAAAATACACACAGACACACACGATAGCTGAATAGGAAGGACTGTTGAATGGAAAGGAGCTAAAATTAAACAATATCTATATCACAGGCAGATTTTTCTGGAAAGTCGTTAGCATAACACAACTTGGGCCATATATTGTATTTTTAACAGCGTTCATAACACAAGATAGATTTAATATATTTTAATTACTAGAGCAGTGTCAATTAACTAGGAAGAACAACTAATCGCAACAAATTAAGGTAAATTAAATCGTTATCTTTATGTTATTCATTTCTGATCTGTCAGGCACAGTAATAAACTTCACGCACACAGCGTTTTGTGCAAATTAAAGCTGATTTAAACAAGGCACGGGTCAGTATTCTTTAAGTAGTTCAATATGATGAAAGTTGGATTGTCATGATTTCTACTCGAGTTTTCATAATGTTGGAACGTCTGAAATAAACACGCGAGCGACAGAAACTACAACATGTATCAGGTCCCCATTACAAAGTTTAATGAACTATCCCTTTGTACAACTCATGGTTGTCAGTTGAGGTACTTTTTCGTTAAGCCGTCGTTTCACCCACAGGAGTAGAGAAAATAATAATTATTGGTCTTGTTTTAATCGATATTGGATTGACACGAAAATACCCGCTAAATAACTTTCGACCAATGTTTAGAGGTTCAAAGTTAATTCACCGGACTTTTTCTGGTTATTCGTGCTATTTATTATCAAAAAGGTGTGCCTGGGTCATAATCCGGGTATGATCTTTAGAATCGAAATTGCGGCAATGTTTGTGCAGCTCTCTCGATTCAGTGGTAGGGATAAGATATGTGTATTGCTATCATGCTAAGTCCAGTAGGAAGCCTCTTAAAGAAATTGTTGCAACTTAAAAGACTCGTACTTACTATTCTAAATCTGATCCACTCGTCATGATCATAATTAAAGACTCCACCAAACTCAGGTGTCAGCTGTGTGCGGTCAATGTAAGACTTAAGTTCGTCCACTGTTGTTATGAGCTTGAACTGAAAGCCAATACAGGTATTGTTAAACACCGATACAGTTCATATATTAATACACTTCGCTAACCTAACTATTGTTCAACACTGAAAACGTCCTTCAGTTGCACTGGAATCACTGATAAGTGCAACCTGAGTTTAAATTGTGTTGAGAAATCGCTAAAATTCAGCACACGATAAGGGTAAAAGAACATCACCGTGTTCTTGTTTACAGGGCAACTGAGCGCACTGCAGTTCCATAACAGCTTCTATTGGAGAGCAAAGCAGAAAATAATTGCTCTGGAATCATGGACAATTATCTAGAACAATACGCTCATCTGTCACGGTTGGTGTGCATTATTGAAATAAATCAACTGCATTTTATTTTCACAGAGGAAAGGAGTATAGTTCAGAGCCATTGGCATCATACCACTACATGAATCATTTGGATTCGATAACAGTCGAGTTCAACCTAATATGCGCACCATAAACAAAACGATAGCATGGCCCTTGCCCAAGTATTCCTTAATGGGGAAATATTGCTCAAGTTTGAAGTCAGGTGCTTTGTATTGAAAAAGCACTTGACATAACAACAGAGTGACTACTATTGAACAGACGGCACAACTCCAACGCTCAATTCTCTAACATAGCGCTGTAGTAATTTATAAGAAGATAGGTAGGTAAAATGCTAAAACAGTCAGCTCACAGTTTTTTTCGATAGAAGAGACGTACATATGGTTTAAAGTATAGATAGTAACTTGATATCCTAGGGGGCAACAAAATGCTTTGGACATTTGTATATTTGCCGCTTTCTATATTTGATTTCGATCTACCGACCTATTAAGTAGAATAGAGCCGTATTAAGCTGGGGTCAAACAATTGGTGAACAGAACGGCCGTTATAAATTTTGACAAGTATTTCTTAGCCGTCCTCTACAAAACAGCAACGTGAAATGACTAAATTCTGCTTATTTTGGAGAACGTGAACCTAACCTGCCATCATACCTTCCCTCCCTTATATTCAGACGTGGCGAAGGAGGGCAAAAAATAAAACGTCTGATGGCAGGTTAACGTGAACCACAACGACTAATTTTTTAGTTCTACTGGGAATGAAGGCTGTCATAACATGTTTAGTTTGAGCAAGATTTTAGACCTCCAATAGATCTAGAAAACTGCGAAATTCGAAGGTAAAAGTGCCATCGTTGTAAGAAACGTTCAGCGGTCGTGACTGTAGCAATCTTTGCGTTGTTTGATCCAGGTCCTACGGGGATTTTTCTCAGTTTGGTAGCGACCGTATAGCAATCATATGGAAACCAGGAGTCGTAAATGAGGATTGCTCAATTTCGTCTACAGCGATCGCAAAGATTGCAGCGATCATAACCACTACATAGCCTTAAAGTCGGCACACACCAGGAGACATGAGGGGACATGAGGAGGGGACAGGCCCCTGCGTGTCTGTGAAAGTATAGGACGCAAGGAGCAGAATAAATGAAAATTGAGGTTATTTTGACTCTGCTTCATGACGTTCGAATTCAAACCAGCTGAATTTCACGCAACATGTCGCGGGGACAAGTTTGTCTCTGCAACACAAACTTTTTCGCAAAAGCGAGGAAACCGTCGTTGCTTCATGTCCCCCAGTGTGAGTCGACCTAAAGTTGCAATAGAGCGATTTCACAAAGTTCATGCTAATGACAATCGTTAAATGCTAATGTGTCGTTGATGGTTTCACTGGCGTTTAGCTGAAATGTTGCATAACGATGACTGTGGTCAATACACGTGAAGATCTTCTCGTGTCAGAGGCCGCTGGCTGAGCACGCGATTTAGTAAGCACGTGGCACGTGACACTCAAAGCAGAACATTTGATAAGGGCCTGATTAAACGCTGTGTGAGTCACATGACGAGTAATAGCCGAACTAACAAATTCCTCTCATATAACCTTAAATGCTTGATTCTAGTACAACACATTAAATCCTTGAACAAACTCATTACCCAGCAAATACCACGCAATTCCGCTGTGATCAGAAACCAATATCGAAAGCGTTACGACGTCATTCCACTTGACTCTTCTTGTCGTGCCTTTCGCTCAAATGAGCAACAAATTACGTTTGAGAACACATATCAGCTGTGTTCTCGGCAAACGCGAAACTTGCAAACTTTCACATCTATTCATCAGAGGATAGTAACGCAAAGGAAAACAACAGACCTACTTACAGCCGATTTCAGTGTAGTGTGGTGTTGACCCGTGTTTTCAAAGGGTGATTCGCCAGTCAAGTCGATTTGATCAGTTTGTGTAAACATAGAGATAAGTTGTAAAAGATTCTGGACATTGATAATCGGCAGGCTGGTAAATTTGCTAGGCTGCCAGAATCGCCCGATTATGGTGAAAAGGTAAATCAGGTCCGTCGAATCACGTTAAACAGCACGCTGTGCCCTATGACCGTCATCACGCGACTCTATAGTTGAACATGGAGACTTAAAAAAATCGCTTAATTACTGATCACAGTTAATTGAGGGAATAGAAATGAAGTCCAACAAGGTTCTTTGCTTTTATGTTCTTGTTGAATTTTTGGTCTTAACCGTGCCCAACACTCAGTAGGACCGGCAGTAAGTGTCTGAGCAGCTAACCGATATCCATTTCAGTTACATAACTCATGCAGATTGTGAGTGTGAGCTTCGACCTCCCAACATTCATGATGGCGTGTTTGTTTCCTCCATTGAAGTTTGCCGGGAGTTATGACTATTTACTGTACTAATCCAAGTTTTACGTCTAACTTCTCGTTTATAAAAGTATTCTTCATTGCTAATGTTTCGTGGACTTTGAGATAAGTCGACATCAAACCTAGAGGACAGCAAATGTAATAGAGAACCTCGCTGAAACGATCACACCGTGCAAATCCAGGTTTGAACAACCAGGCCCTTTAGAAGGTTGCAGCGAGAAGGCCAGTAAACTTGCTAGCGTCGAGTGTTTATTGTCGAATCATGTCGAGCGAGCGTGTTTTGACGCTACACACTTGGACGTCCACTAATATAAAGGCCATGACCTGAGGGTCCTGTCCGCCAACTCTCTTCAGTCCAGTAGATACTGCAACTACATTCGGCTCACTTTTGCTTTTGTCGTTCAACAGAAAAGTGCGCCTACTCTATTATACTCTTGACAAAAACAAGCTGAGTTCGTGTAAAGTATAAACCAATGGTGCCAAATGATACTGTGCTGTATCGAACTAAACATTAAATATATGTACCTGAACATAAACTTACCGTACTCTAATCTGGAACACATTATTCAACGATATCACAGCGAGAAAGCTTTGAACAAAAATATCATACAAAGAGGACCGATTGGCGCAAACTGCCGAGAAGCGCGGGTAACACGAAGTGCGGGAGATACATGTATAAGATAGCGTCACGAGACAGTTGGTCATGGGACGATATCCCATTCCCATCCATTGATCCAAAGCTACACTGTCTACACTTAAGAGACCTTAATAGTCGGTCGCAGTCTCTTTTCTTCTGAAAATGATTCGTTTGTTGTTCTTGGCTACTTTTAATCCAAACAACGTTTTTACTGCAAGAGTATGCTTTGGACAAGCTCAGTGGTTTTCATCTCTAGATATCTAAATGCTACGGCAGCCCAGAAGGGTCACCTACCATTTTTATTTTTTTAATGTTTGTTTTAATTATTGTTTTCATTTTCGTTCTTTGTTTTTTTAATTTTTGTTTCCGTTTTTGTTTTTTGTCTTTTAATTTTTGTTTTCGTTTTTGTTTTGTTAATTTTTGTGTTTGTTTTTGTTTTTAATTTTTGTTTCCGTTTTTGTTTCTTAAGTTTTTGTCTTTGTTTTGTTTTTGTTTTTCATTGTCATCTTTTTTTTTTCTGTTCAAAAAAAAGAAATAAAAACGCGAACAAAATTAAAAAACAAAAACAAGAATTAACAAAACAACTGACGAAAACAAAAAACAAAAAACAAAAACGGAAACAAAAATAAAAACAAAAACAAAAACGAAAACAAAATTGCAAAAGGCCAAAACAAAATCAGTGAGTGTAGACCATCATGCTTTGCTGGCAGTATCCATGACATGACCGTTGTGTGATCTTTTGGCCGTCAAGCGTAGTCACGCATCGGTTGCAATAAACTCTATGGCCATTTCATTGCTTGTCAACTTGTCTTGGGAGAAGAATATAGCAAGTACAAAGGTGACAAAGATTTCAAGTAAAGTCAAGGATATTTCTTCATCAACTTCCTTAACTTGTAAAAAGGTGTTAAAAGGTCGTTGTATAAATAAAAGCATATCATTTGCAGAGCTCTCAAGCCTCAGGAAAACGAATGTAATGTTAATCTCTCACAATGAACTTGTTATTGCACTCGCACCTTCGGAGCTTGCAAGACTTGCCTCAATTGTTTTGAAATTCTGGCTACGGCCCTAAACTTCTACTGGCTTCAAAAGCAGCGAAGAAATTATTTTCATATTCTACGATGATCGTTTCGTTGTTTTCGTGTTCTGTGTTTTATTTCTATTCATTGTTTGGGGTTTTCGCGTTTGAGTGTGATAGAAACTTGACAGATGCAAACATATTGCATGTGAGCTCCTTTCAGCGACGGAGAAAATATTGGAAGGGACCCATACCTTACTTAGGCCACTGAGGGAGGACATGAGCATTTGTCACGACATTTGTCTTGGTCCTCAGAATTTGCCCTTCGGTACCCCACACGAGTGGCACACAGTGCAAAGACCCCCTTGTGGTAAACGTCCCGTACTTACTACTTTCACGTCATGGATTGTACAACTGCAAGTTACTGGACAACTGCAAGTGAAGCATGATGGTCTACACTCATCGATTTTGTTTCGGCCGTTTTCGTTTTCGTTTTAGCTTTTGCTTTTGTTTAATGTTTTTGTTTTTGTTTCCTTTTTGAACGCAAAAAAACGCAAAACAGAAACCAAAATTAAAACGAAAGGCAAAACGAAAACTAAAACAGAAATTACAAAAACAAAAGAAAAAACAAAAACAAAAGTTAAAAATATAAAATTAGAAAGAACAGAAAAAAAAACAAATTACAAAACAAAACAAAAACAAAAATGGTTGGTGACCCTTCTGGGCTGCCGTAAAATGCAATAGGCGCGATCATAGAATGACGAACTTCGAGAAACGGGTGCCGCATGCCCCGACACCACACATCCATCAGTGGGATGGGGTTGGGTAGTACACTTCAATTAACCGCCGTAGCTGACGAGCAAGCAGTCTACATTTGGAAGTTTTTTTGAACTTCACTGCAAAAGCCCAGAATGACTCCATAAAAGGCTAATTTAAGGACGTTGGGCAGAAAACTCTGTTTACACCCATGTGATATGCTGAAGAAGTCTCACAAAGTCTCAATGTATTATGTGCTGACCTTGAATCTAATGCTCACCTCAAAGTTAAGTTGTTCTTTGACCTTAGATCCGCTGAATAAAACAAGAGGTGAGTCCTTCTTAGATAACACGTATACCATGTGTACACCACCAGGAATACTTTCCTATAAGAAATGGAAATCACAAACAGGCCTGTCAACAACAGAAACTCGACTAATTTATGTGTAAACAATACAAATCCGTGAAAAAGCCGCGGACAAAAGTCAGGCCGCTTGAGTGACGACTAAACTGAACAACAGTTGTCGTGAATTTTCTTTCACAGCGAACAAGATTTTCGCTCAGCAAAAAAAAAAAAAAAAAAAAATTCCTAAAACAACAAATTCTATACCAAATGCTATAACTTCCTGCCTCGAGACGCAAGAAAACTATAATCTATAATAGTCCCACATAATAGCGCCAAAAGAACAGAAAACAGTGTATTACATATGTAAAAAAAAAGTACTTATTGCGTGAATAAAACCCAAGCATATTTTTGACCTATTCTACCTTCCTCTACGTTTAATAATTCAGTAACATGCCCTTAGCTGCTCATGAATTCTCTTGCTTTCTTCCCGGGCTTTCTTCTTATGGTAAAAAGACATTCAATGCGGCAGTGTGGCTAGTGTTCCTTAGACGGAAGCATAGAAAACAATTTTGTTAACAAACCTGAAAGCAAACCATGGCCTCAACAATGTTCTCGAGGTATTTTCGTTTCGCTGCCGATTTCCTCACGTCGATGATAACAGAAAATCCAAGGTTTCGGCTTTCTTTCCTAAACAAAACAAGGCAAATACCGTTGAGCGGTCAGAAACTTGTGTACGGAATCTGATACCTGTCACACCCTTTTCACACCTTTTGTGTTATGTGCCCAACTTCCGGTCCACTGACCGGATTCACAGACCGTACTGTCAAACTGTACATTCCACAGACGAACTTTGTCGTCTTTCGTGGGAAAATAGAGTGCTTTTACAAAACCATGAACTACGATCGATCAAAACCAAAGTAGTAAGGCCATCAAAACGAAGGTTCCAAGAAGAAATAATCTCCAGTTACATCGACAAATAACGGTGTGTTGCAAGGGAACAGACTGAAGAGTTCGTTACAAGATACTACAGTAATGAAACCTAAAAACAGAGCTACGAGGTATAATGAAATGATAAAGCATGATCTATTCTTAGCAAAATACAGAAAATCACCTAGACGCGAATATATTACAGTACAGAAATACACGGGTTGCCAAATTAGGACACTTTCTAACACATTTGTTAGTCCAAAACACCGTTTTTTAGGGCTCTTTTTTCCCGTTCGCCGAAAAAAAAAAAAAACGCCTGATCGCAGGTTTAACTTGTCAAGAATGCAAATACATCCATAAAATGACAATCTCCATAATAACCAATACAATAATAAGCTAGATGAACACTGATTTTTCCTAATTATTCAAATAAAGGAGAACAAAGACTGATGGAGAAGTACGGATGAAGATCCTTTAGTCACATAATATAGAACTGATCTCTAAAAACCATCCCTTAAAATAACGAAAGAATCCACTCCTTTGAACATAAAACACCATATTCATGACGACATCTTGTCCAGTTTATAGATTCACGCACGTGTCATGTGGCGCATGGTACTTAACCTTTGGTCGTGAGATTGTTTTCATCTGATTTTTCTCCAAAATGGAGGAGAAAACTAATAAAAAACCTTTAGTCACCAACACTGGTGTTTAACATAACAGAAAACACGTGATGCAATTACAATACAATAGGGGACTTAAGATTTGAGAACGAGATCGAGTACGAGAACGACTTTTCAATTCTAGCTCGCAGGCTTCACGTCATCAAATCACATACCCATCTCATCCCATGAGCTAGCTTCTCTGCCTAAAACCAACATGAAGAGCGAGGGCTCTAGAAACGTCACTGATTTGAAATCGAAAATCGTACTCGTAGTCCAATCTAAAGGTCTCTAATAACGTGCAGAGCTGAACATGTTGACATAAAGCGTTTTCAAACTCGTGTTCGCCAACGTTTTCTTTACTAAAAAAAAAAAACACGACGAGAGTAAAGAATTTAGGACGACATTTGCTGGAGAGAAAGCGATGGCCATTGCCTTGGCATTCCTTTGAACCCTTCTAGAGCTTCTTTATGAGCGATTTCAATTGTTTTCAATGTGCAAATGAGGAAATACTTCCGGTACCACCCCATACCTACCGTGAGTAAAACTGTTGTGTGGCCCACCCGCAGGTGGTTCAGGGGATTAACTGCTCAGTGCTAATTTTTTCTAGAATATCCCTTTTCAGGTTAACTTTTCCGTCAGGATGCGAGGCAATTTCTGGTACAATTTACAAAATTGTCCGAAATTGTCTCGCATACATACTGGATCATATTATAAAGCAGGATGTGTAATGCAGCGAGAAAAAGTGACCGTTTAAATATTGTCTTACGTGCACGCTGGATCATATCATAATGCACATGACGGAAGGTAACCGTGAAAGGGGAATGGAGGTGCATCAACAGAAGAGTGACAACACGTAGTTACTACAAAGGATTATTTCTACGAAGGCAAGTTGAATAAATATCCGCCGTGCTGATGTTCGATCGGCTCCACAACTTGTGCCTGCGCAGCTGGTGGTTCGTCTTATCGAGGCAGGAATGGCGAAGAACTGACCTGCCAGTCTACATTCGGGAGCCTGCACAAGCTAGAGTATCAAATGTTTTTCAGTCGCTTGCTGCAGATACAAGGCACTCTTCACATTGTCCCGGGCAAGGAAGTAAAAGAGTACAGTTGTACAGTTTTCGCACAACAAACCAAATCCGCTTGACCAAAATACATCTTGGTTTTTCATTTGATACGACTATAAGCCGCGTACGTGTACGGCATTCAACACCGCTGCGATGAAAGAACAGCCATGTCAACAACTGAGACCTCTTGGCGTTTCCTCTCCTTCCTATCTTACCCTGCGCTCCCACTTTTCGTGGGTTGATGATTTTTTTTTTCTTTGGCGCGGGCGACTGGGAACGAGGCAGAGATGCGGTAAATGACCTTTCACACTAACTGTCCTAATTTGCAAGAGCAGAACATGCGCTAACTTCCCTCGTTCAAACAGATGTCAATATGTAGGCGTCATGGTCGCCTTGCTGTTCAAATATTGTAAAATCTACAGTCTACGTTCAAATTTACTGGCTAATCAACAGCGATCTATTCGACGGAAATGCCTTGCTACAAAAACGTAGACAACGTGCGACAGAAGCATCTCATCAAGAAAGTTTTCAAAAGTGCTCATTGGCAAAGAGAGGGACGGTTTAACACACTACAGCAGCGTAGTACACTGTACTGAGAAAAATAAATAGAATATTGCATTTATAGCCTAGACATATCCAGACTGATCACGCATACTGTACATACAGATACTGACATACCTCACTGCAGTTACAATGACTGGCCGCTGTGTATCACTAAATCGTGACACAAACATGCGTTCCAGTACCACACTTGTCCTGATGTCATAAGAGTTAAGAAGGCTCTGCGATACAGAGACTACAGAGACAGCCATCGCTTGCTCACCAACGCAACAACGAGCTGATATTTGACACTAGATCACCTCCCGTTGCACGCAATCTAATAGTTTCTGTGACTTGTCAACACGTGCTGTGCAGGCGCAGTATTACATATATTGTCTCTTCACAACCCTGATCGTGAAGAAACATAGGAGACGTCTGCGTGAATTCTGACGTTACTAATCTAACCGTTCGGAAGTAGGACTCAATCGAACTCAATCGAAATAAATCGAACGATTGGGTTCGATTAGTTCGATAATGGAACAAAATCGAATCCAAAAATTTGTGTAAGAGAGTTCGATTGCGTTCGATTTCCGAACTAATCGAACTGAATCGAACTTAATCGAACACAATAGAAAAATCTTAAATTTACCCTAATACAACCGATAATTGAACAGTCTGTCCAAGTAAGAGTTACAAATGAATAATTAACTAGTAATATTTTTATTGATGTATAGACTTTTGGAATGGAAAATACATTGAAAGAATAAACTGTCTGTAAAATCGTAAAACAAAAAAACCGAAACGTAAAGTTAAACTCATCGATAACCTTAAATCAAATTGGAATACAGAACACGTTGAAAGAAACCGAAGAAATAAGCGACTAAGGAATGGCAGCCGGCCGGACAACTTGTGAGCTTTTCTAACAGTAATAAGATTGACAAAAGCAATTTCCTTTCCGTATTTATTCGTTGTTCTGGGCTAAACACCCTCGTATTCACCCGTTATTCGCATACCACATACCCCCATTTCCAGCCGAATGTAATAGACCGTGAATTTTACGACCGTTGTTTTTCAATCAACATCCATCCTCAAATCGAACCTAATCGAACCCAATCGTACTAATCGAACTTGATCGAGCCCAATCCAACTCACTCGAACGTTCGATTGCGTTCGATTGATCAATTTTTTTTTTTTGTGAGAGTTCGATTGTATTCGAATACCGAACTCAATCGAACCCAATCGCGTGATTGCGTTCGATTAAGTTCGACTGAGTTCGATTTGGTTCGATTAGTAACGTCGGGCGCGAATGGATAGATGCATCGTGTTCTCAAGCTTTCTGAGCTCATTACAGTATGAAAGAACGAGTAGAGATCGGTAGATAAACCGGTCTACCACCTAGAGACGACTCAACTGGATGAATTTCGACGAATCTCGGCAAGACATAACATTAAAAGATGGTTTGAACCGCTGAATCTCAATGCCACACAAGTCAGCTATCTCCACTATCAAAGTTCGACGGGACTGCAAAACAGTCCACATTTTTTTTCGTGAGTTAGTAAGCACCACGCCCTTTCGAAAGCAAACGTGATGAATAAGAGAATGCGGAGGTCTTACATACCAGACATTCCCCTATTGGCTTTATTATCATTATCATTATCATTATTTTATTTCTTAATAAAATCTACATTTTACAGTTGGACTGGCCCGCAAATAGCTATGCTAGTCTAGGCGGGCTAGTCTATCAAATCTGCAGTCAAATCAATTAAAATTGTTAAAAATCTCACCAAAATGGGAGAGAATGTAAAATCATTGAAAAAGGAGAACGATGAACTAAGAGATCAAGTTCAAAGGCTATCAGAAGATTTTCAGAGGTTCAAAGACAAGATGGCGGCCAAGGTCAGCAAAGATGTAACGCCAAGTTCAAACAAAACACCCAGTGTACAAGAATTTTATACCCTTAAAAAATTTTTCACCCTGAGCTTTATACCCTGAGTGTAACCTGTCTAAGGTGAGAGATACACACTCTCACCTATCAAATAACTACTGACCAAACGACTGGAAGAGACTAATTCTGCTACAAAATGGATTAGCCAAAAAATGGAACGACTGCGATGAAATTATAATTAGTTCTTAATGTTAAATTTTATTTTTCAGAGTTTCCAACTACAAGATTTCAGAAAAAACAACAGTTAAGAGTTGCTGGATAGCAAGCATAAAACAGTCCTTGAAATTTTTCAAACTTTCCAACCAGCATAATTCATTGCACTAAGCATCAGAGATCTCAAAATGGTAATCTTGCTAGTTAAATTTCATCACACTCTTTCCATTTTGTCCCCTAAAACTTATAACAACAGAAGATCAAAGAATTGAGGCACTTACGTGGGAATGGTGTGGAAGTACATAAACAACCTTGCCAACTCTACACTAGTATAAGCAACATTCCCCCAGTCAGGGCACGAGACATCAATCACAAGAACAGGCCCACCTCTCAAGTCTCTGTTCCCTATAATGCAATCCAATACACAATAACTACAAACTGTGTTTGAACCAGGCCTGACACAAAGCCTTGATTCCACTTCATTGATTTCAAACCTTACAGTCAAGTGATTGGTTTTTACAACAGGAAACCTGGTATGTCACAGAAACATTGACAAATCGAACACATCTTTCAAATTGAGTGTAACAGCCAATACATGTACAATCAAAGGAAATATGATTTGATCAATGCAATAATAAGAGTTTGCTTTTTCATGATTTTATGTGCATTAGTTAGCATTAATGGCTAAATCACTTTGATATGTGGAATCTTTCTTAGTTGAAAGACTGACAATTTAACCATGTTTAAACAAACGATGTAAAAAAACAGCACAGATATGCTGCAGGCTACAACTGAGACCCTAGGCCATATAAAAGTGACATTATATACACTAGTGCACTAGACTTTTCAACAACAGGTCAAGAGCACTTCTCAAATCAAAACTGTCCCTTATATTTCTATGCTAGAAAGTGATTGCAAAACATTGTTTTGTATGATCCATGTGCAGAAGACAACAGCATTACATACATGGTCGCGGCCTGATTCCAAGTTGTGTCATCATGAACCAGGATAAACAATGAATTTTTCAGCAGAACAGTTAACTCTGAATTAGTATACCTCTAAATAACTTTATGGTCACAGATCTGAGGGTCAGATATGAACACTTAACTTTCTTAATATAGATGTGCATGAGCTAAGATCAATATTTGAATCTGCTGTCATACTTTGATAATTTTGAATAATAGACAAGTAAGCAAGACAAGCCTTTCTCTTTAAAGCACAGTGAATCAGCAAGTTGTAAGGACATTTTAATGTTCAATATTTTGCCCTCCTAGATTGCAAAACAAAAGAAAATGTAAACAAACAGAAATACAAGAGCAACCTCCAAAGTGCTGACTTTAACATCCCAACTAACATTAGTCAAACCTCTAAAGGCTAGGTAAAAAAAACAACCCGCTTTAATATAGAATCACATACATTATGATCAGGCATATTTTGTCTTTTGTTGGGTTAAAAAAATTAAATGTGTTGCTTGTTTTTGCAACACAAGGAATCAGTATTAGTTGGATAGAAGTAATAGTAGTTAGGTTTGATCTCTCAGGTTGTCAAAATTTATACATACATGCATGTATTTATGTATGTATTTATGTAAAAGGAAACAGTCCAGTGAACAAGGACATTGAGCAGGAAACAAGAATGTCACAAAAGCCAATAACATGCTAGGTGTTTAGCAAATCTTATTTGTATTCTTATGATTTAGTAATGGTATTTAGTAGTTCTCCATCTTTCATGTACAAACATATCTCTCTTGGGTTGTTGAGTGATTGATATTTGAAATTAAGGACTATTATTGAATGACCACATTTTATTTTTGGCTACAATATCTTAAATAGAATGATATTTTGTCACCGTGAATTTTGCCATGACAACAATCAAAAACAAAAGAAAACAACAACACCAAAAAAGACAAGCACTTGTCAAAAAATAATAATTATCATTAGATATAAAACATTAGAAAACAGTCCTAAGAAAATAAGCACGCTGATTGGTTGAATATCATGTTTCTATAACTCGACAGAAACACAGAACTGGCACAAGCTGTTAACGTAATGATGGTGCAAGCAAAGAGAATTTACACTTTGATAATTAAAGTTAACAAGTTGTTTTCCTTTTTTCATCGCGGTGTTTTCTATCAAGTTAGAGAAACACTTGTAAAAGTTTGGGAGAACTCGAAAAAGCTGTGGAAACACTCGCCTGCAGCTCGTGTTCCAACAGTATTTCTCATTCTCCCAAACTTCCACTCGTATTCCTATAACGCAAGAGAAACATGGTACATGTTTTCTATTTCTTAAATGAAATGTATTGCATCAAAATGGTAAATGATTCTCTCAACAATTAAATGCCTAAATAGCCAATAATATCAGACTCATCAGTCATGTTACTGGTTTACAACTGTCACATAGCAAGTATTTCTGTAAAATAAATGATAAAGTTGAACTTTGTTGTTATTGTTGTTGTTTGTTTTTCCTACTGTTTGCCTTGCTTATGTCTGACGAAAAAAGTGTAAGGTTCTTTTCGTCACATGTCTAGCTGAACAACAAAATAGAAATCTCAGCAAGGAAACGCTTGCTGGGCAGAAAACTTTTTAACAAAATATTTAGCATGCAATTAAATTTTCTCTCATGCTGATTGTTGTCAAATATCACAGGTTTGCAAAAATTAAGCTTTAATTGCCAAAAATAACAGCTACTTTTACTACATAGAGACTAACAACAAAATTTCCATTCACATATTTTTCCCAACTTCCAATAACAGTAACATCAAAATTACTGACTTACCAGGCAGTGAAGCAACACCACTATGAAGCAACTCAAAGTTCACATCAAATGCATTCATTGGCTTTTCCATAAACAGGGACTGACGACTAACCCTACAACTCTTCTCAAGGCTGGCTTCATCAATGGCTGTACATTGATAATAATAAGAAAAAGAGAATATGAAGGGATCAACAAAAAGCTATGATGGTGGAAAAGTTTACCCTTTTCCAGCTTCTTATATCTACTGCTGTGAGTAGAATAAAATAAAGGTAACGACGTAGGAATTTCATCTGTTCTGTCAGGAACTCGTAAGTTTCAAAAAATCTTTATTATCCCAATAGATTATCTCTCCTGCAAATACAAATTGTAAGGTATTTAGTAAATGGTTTGAACCCAAAAGTATCAGTAGATCATCTTGTGTGATCATCTGGGTGAGGGTAGTTCTGAAAAGAACTGTTGTTGGTGACTGACGTTTCAACAACCTCAGCAGAAGTCATCTTCAGAGTCAAGTGAATAGTATTTATAAGTCTGGTCCATTGAAAGTGACTAGTCAGTTAAGCCATGATGGTATTAGTTAAAAGACTTGTATAAAGTTTGTCAGCAGTCATTGGTTGGTGCTAGTTTCAATCCATCTTTTGTTAGTCAAATCAAGTTGGTTTGTTTGAGGTCCATTTATCAGTTTTGTTTATGTCCTGAATAAGTTGCTTGTAAGGTGTCATTAGTAGTCGACATCTGTTAAGAGGCATTTGTGCTAAGTTGGTGTACCAGCTTTTCAGAGTCATTTGTTGAAAATAGTTTGTACTGTAGGTTAAGCATTGAGCAAAGTCCCAGTCAATTATGTGGTTTCTTAGTTGACCTACTGAAACTGGCAAAATGACCGGAAACCCAACAACTGTTTCTACTAACAGTGACTATACCTAACATTATGGGCACTTCTGATGCCATCTAACAGATCCTACAGCCTTACAAGTTCTGTGTAGCCCACAAACCTACAACTACTTTACAACACTTGCTGACCAATGTTAAAGACAAGATGAACCCGATGACAAACGGGGAGCAGTTTACAAGATTAAATGCTATGACTGCCAGGCTTCCTACATTGGCGTGACTGGCAGAAACCTTAACACGAGACTTACTGAACACAAACGAGCAACAAGAAAGGGTGATGCATACAATCACATTGCTGTACATCATCAACTAACGAACCACAGAATTGACTGAATTTGCTCAAAGTTCATGCATTCTTCCCAAAATCAAATACAAGATTCTAGCTCATATCTAATAGTAATAAAATAAATAAATAAATAAATAAATCATAACAACAACTATGTTCAGAGTTTCATAGTTATAAAGGTTCATAAACAAGTCGATTCATGCCAGGAGATTATCTCCTCGTGAAATCACAAACTAATGAAAAAAAAGGACCTCCTGGCTTCAATGACAATGGATTAGAATTTCCCAGAAATGCATTACATTTCACACGAAAATATAATCGGATTGTGCTATGAGAAGAGAACAGCATTCTAATGGGCAAAGTTGGAGGAACAGATAGTGTTCAATGACAAGTAAATGAACATATTTTTAAAGTCAAAAGGAGGGTATTGTACTTTTTATCTTTCAAATATTTTTTGCAACATGCAGGATTTGAAAATTGGCAAATATAGCTCAGATATTTTAGCTAGTGGATATTCAGTCGCATCATGCATTTAGACCAATAGAGTGCAAGTAAACAATATTTGCTGGATTACAACTGACAATACCCACTTTGTCAAAAGCTGTATACAAAATAAACTACAAGTCACTCGGGAAATGTATTATTAATACCTACATAATAACTATGTACACAATCTTTTTTTTCAACACAGCAAAAAATTCGTCAGCTACATCTATGTAGAATATTATAGTGAACTTATTTTGTGTTTCATCCAACATTGCAAATCAATAAATCCTACATGTATAGATTGTTTTCACTGTCACGCAATAAAAAAAATAAATCGAAAACCATCCAGTGGAAAAAGCTATGAAATTATGATGTTATAGAAGATAACTAAATAGGCCACTTCTCCACGTTTTAGGCCTGTGCGTTTCCCCAAACTTCAGATATTCGTTGAAATGTTTCACCAATATTTTACAGAGCCCAGTATGAAAACGCCATGTTGGTGTACCTCCGTGGTACACCAATATGGCTGCCGGAAAATAGTGCAAACATCTGGAACTTACTTTGGCTATCTAGGCGACTGATTATCAGTAYTGATCAAACAAACATTYATATAAGYACTTTTCCACRAACTCAATCATAGCCTTGTGTCAYGCACCTCCATAACCCTGAAATTCAAAGTGCTCTGGATTCTAAASGAAGCATGCTATTGAGCTGTAAAATTAATTGTAAACAGATATAAATATACCGCCTCTTGTACCTGATGAGGACAAAAACTTTGGTGGCTGTTTCGTTTTGGATTTTAGAAAGTGATGACGTCACATGAAAACGATCTATATAGTTACTCCTTTTTTGGTTAT